TGCAGAACTTTTATCATAAAGGAGTGTTGGATTTTGTCAAAGGCCTTTTCTGCATCCAATGAGCTAAGCATATATTTTTTCCATTTGTTTATATGATGGATTACATTTCTTGATTTTTGAATATTGACCCATCACAGCATCTCTTGAAGGAAGCCTACTTGAGCATGGTGGATGATATTTTTGATGTGATCTTACATTTAGTTTGGTAATATTTTATTGACAAGTTTTATATCTTGGTTCATAAGGAGAAAAGATTTGTCATTTTCTTTTTTGCATCTTTATATGGTTTGGGTTCAGGGTAATTGTGGCCTTATAAAATGAATTAGACAATGTTTCTTCTGTTTCTTTTTGTGGAATAATTTGAGTAGTATTAGCAGTAACTCTTTTATGAAAGTCTGGTAAAATTCTGCCATAAAAGCATCTTGCCTTAGACTTTTTTGGTTTGCAGACTCTTAATTACTCCTTTCATTTTCTTAGGTGTTATAGGCCTGTTTTTTTTTTTAATATAATCTTCATTTAACTTTAGTAAATGGTACCTATTGAAAAAATTACCCATTTCTTTTAGGTTTCACAATTTGGATGAATATAGTTTTTAAAGTATGGCCTTATGATTTTCTAGATTTCCTCCATGTCTGTTGTTATATCCTTCAGTGCTGATATTCAAAGTGCATATGATTATGCCTAGCCTCAGTGTTTGCTATTAAAATGTTACTACGTGGCAGATGCAAGGCTAACCTCAGTAATTTACTGAACTTGAGGTCAACCTGGACTACTTGACACCCTGTCACTCCAAAACAAAAACATCTGTGGGTGGTGATGGACAAACATAATACCAAGACTCAGTGGCAGAAGCAGAATGATGGGAGCAGGTTCAACCTAGTGTTCACATAGAGTTCCATGAGGTACTTATTGTAGGTAGTCAACAGAGTAGACTCCTGAGACATGGGTTTAAGCCAATAGAAAGTTTTTATTAGCTGACCTGCTACTACACTTCGTGTTCTGGATTCCAGTTTAGTCCTCGCCTTTTTCAGGATGAGCTTTTAAGCATAAAAATCATGTTCTGGGGTGACATAGCTCAGTTAACAAGAACAGTTAACCAGAAGGAGAACTACAGACTAAAAAGCAAGGTTAGTACATTTAGAGAATTCCCACAAATATGGACTTGGATGGAATAGGCCTTTGTTTATATTTTTGACAGATGGTGGTGTTTAACTGCTCAGTTTTGCAGCCAGAATGCCACCTCCATTATTGAGTCAATTGTTCTAAGATCTTGGGCCTACTGAGTTCTGGGGCCTGTTACATTCACCCCTGGACTAAATGAATAAATCAAATCATGGACTCATCCTGTTTTCGTTTAATATGCAGAGCCCCCGCCATTATTCCAATATGAATGAGAATTATAGGCCCAGTCCATACTGATAGTGGAGTAGTTAGCCCGAGGGACCAAGAGAACAGAGACTGGTATCAAGTATTTCCTTAAACATGACTTTTTTTTAAATTACTACTGATCAATTATTATTGGAACAACAGGTTTCTTCCAAAGCTATACATATTTTCCTTTATCTCATGAGAAGTAAGTCTAAGTTTTTTTGATTTTGTAATATATTTTTTGTAAGGGAATCTAACTGTTGTTTTAATTCAGAAATGGAAACTTTCAATACCATCTTGTCCTGATCAACCTGTCTACTTGGTTTGGAAGAGGCACATATAGTGAAATCATGGCTACATGCAAACCAAACCATCTCAGGGATTCAGCAATATTGTTATCCTGATGAATTAACTCATAAAGCAGGACATTAATTTTGGGCTGCCCCCAGTCACAGTGAGTTTCATTAGTCAATGGACTGACAGTCTGGTTAGTTCCTATTCCTATGTAGTATGACAGGGGCCAGGTGTTTAAGTGTAACCAGCAATTCTGGCCAATTTCTGGTTTGGACTGATTAATTCCATCCCCAGGGCTCCTTCCTGTAGCATAGAGTGTGATTCTGCAGGTTGTTCCTGTTTCACAAAATCTAGAATCTTTTTTGTGAACTTTTCTGGAGGACTCAGTTTCACAAATCCATTTTTTTTTTTTGTAATGGAAATTCCCTTGTTTCTGGAAATCAGGGCACCCAGCCACAGGGTATGCATAGAATTATAGACTATATATATATCTATATCAAAAGATAAACCTCCATATTTTTTCTTTCTCTAATACAACTAGACATTTAAAGTGGGCTTCAGTGAGCAAAGATCAAAATGAATAAGAGTTGCTGGTCTGTAGTTAAATTAGATAAAACCTTCCTCTGTCTGTCTTTTTTAGTTCCCAGGTTCAGGCCTAAGAGCTGTGGGAGTTGGAGCATGACCCTGTATTCATGCCAAATGTAAGACTCAGGAGGAGTTAGAGGGATATGGAGTGGAAGGGCTTGGGGACCCAATGAAACATTAATTTTAATGAGTCCATTGTTCAGAGACACTCCATTTAGCAGCATCTGTGACTTCTGCTTTCTTGACCTGGGTGTGGTGTGTCTGTGATATAATGCCAGCTATCTTGACTGCCATAGAGTAGAGAGAATCACGTTTTAGGGTCCTTTCCAGGTTAGATCTGGTGTCCTTGCCTACTCTCTTGACCAGACAGTATCATTGGACTGGAATGAGAGGAAACTGGTGGTAGACTCGGAGGTCAGCTGGGTCTCTTGAATAGTCCGATGACTAGCCATTATGGAGAACTAGAGTGTCTCTAGTGCCTTGAGAAAATAAGGGTTAGACACTTTTGCCAGTTGTTTGTCTCTGAGCCTTGGAAGCAGTGGGGGAAGTTTCTCAAGAATAATCTCACTGGGGCTAAATCTCTGTATATGGCCCAAATTATTTCAGTTAATGGAACTGCTGATGCTCCAGGATACCTGGTTTCATTTACATCTCCTGACAGTCATGGATGAGTTTCTATATCATCAAGCATGAGGGTAGCTGAATTGATGGTGGTGGGTTTCTCAAATTAGACTTGGTTGAGCCAGTAAGTAGGGCCTGGTGCTTGGTCAGACAAGCATTAGATAGTCAATGTTTTGGTGTTCCTCAGAGGAGGGCCTGAACCATGCTGTGGTATACTGTGAGTATAAGTTCTTGACCTTTATGTGTCTCCTTAGACTTTTTTTCTTCTTCTTCTTTTTTTACTTAGGACCTCATGGGATTAAGACTGGCCTTGATATTCTTGCCTCTACCTCCCAGTTGGTGAGATCAAGGGTGTCAGGCCTCCATGCCTATCTGAAAAAGACCTTTTACTCAAGACTTAATTTTAGGGAAACCTCTTCTGTAGGCTGCAGTCATTAGCCTAAATTTCAATATTTTATTTTCAGAGCCATACATAATTATATCAGGTTGTGATGGTCATTACTTGACAAACAATGACTGTTCATTTCATCCTATGAGTTCTTGCTTGTGGAGAGTAAATTCCTGTTTCCTTTAGATATAGCCATTGATGGGGCATTCTAAAAGTCTTCTTCCAAGATAAATAGGTCTTCTGCTGGTAATAAAAGTCAGAAACTGAAGCTCTATTGTACATAAACAGTTTCTAGGTGCTGGAAAGATGGCTCAGTGGAAAGTGTGCCTATGAAGTTTGCAGGAGAAAGAGTTCAGTTCCCACACCCAGGTTGCCATTTCTGCCGACTATGAATGAAGTCAATGCCTATTCCAGCTTTGTGGCCTTTCATAACTTTCTAGTAACTTGTGTCCCATATGTTTTTTCTTCTTCTTTCTCCTGGGACATTCTTTTGTGATTCTTTTTGTGTTTTTGTTTCTTAAGGCGGGGTATCATATAGCCCAGGCTGCCTTCAAACTTCCTATGTCCCCAAAGAATGACCTTCAGTTTCTGATCCTGCTACCTCCGCCTCTCAAGAGCTTTGGTTACAAGCATCCCAGGCTTGTCCCCTTTATGAAACATGAATTGAACTGAGAGATTCATCCATGCTAAGCAAGAATGCTACCAACTGAGTTACATCTTCAGCCCCTTTATTCTTTTTGATTTGCTAGGATATAAACTATAATTTTGCTATGTATGACTGTTTTGCCTACTTATAATGCCTGTGTATACTGTGTTTGCCTGGTGCCCATGGAGACCAGAAAGAGCCAGATCCCCCTAGGGCTGTAGTTACAGTTGGTTGTGAGTGACTATCACTTGTCTGCTTGGTATTTACTGGCGTTTGAAGATAGCATTGAATTCTCTTGAACTAATGGTAGTAATAGTTGGCAATCACAAGTGAGTGCTGAGAACTGATCTAGGACTTCTTCAAAAGCAACAGGCAATCTTATCTGTTGACACATCTATAATTTTTTATTATTGTTTTTTTAAGATCAGCATTTACTTTACTAATGTTTTTGAGACCTCTTTGATCTGCCAGTAACTTACTAAAACTGCATTCCTTCCTAGGACTTGTTAGCCTTGGAGTTTATCAGGGGTCACTCCAGTTTATGTTTGAGAAGTACAGAATTGGAGTGAATGTTTTAACGCTATGGAGGAATTTCAAGTGAGCCTATGAGTGCATTCTGTTCATTTGTTTGTTTGAGACAGGATCTTACTATGTACCTCTGGCTGTCCTGGAAATCTCTACACAGACCAGCTGGCTTGGAAATCAGAAATATTACCTGCCTTTGCCTCCTGAGTTTTGAGATTAAAGGTTGACACCACCACACCCATATTGTCTATTGTTTTTCGAATTTAATAATTTTGATAATACTTTGTTAATATATACTAAATAGTGTTAATCTATTTGCATGTCTCTCTGTATATATTACTAAGCATTTCTTATGCAATGCTCTATTCTGTTTTGAGGGCACAAATGGAAGGCATGATTCACCTTTTCTGTTTCCTTTTAAAATGTGATGATGACTGCATTTGATATTTTATGACCTATGAGATAGAATATAACGAGCAGAATGAATTATGTAAATATATTTTCAATGAAATGTATATTTGCAATGCAGTCAGTCTCAACATTTCTATTATGTGCATATATGGAATACTTTAGGATGCAGTGACCTATGAGGATTTGCATGTGAACTTTACTCATGAAGAGTGGGCTTTGCTGGATCCTTCCCAGAAGAGTCTGTACAAAGATGTGATGTTGGAAACCTACTGGAACCTCACTTCTATAGGTAAGAATGTGAGCATTCTGTCACTTTTTAACTTAAGGAGATAAGCATTTCTTGGAGATTGTTGCTCTTCTGTGATTTCAAATGTGAAAGAGGAAGGATCTAGTGAATAAATCAGGCATTGTTCAAAGATTCATGAAAGATAGTAATTTCACTTGTGTCTAATTTCCAATAATATATCACATACATTTTCTGGTACTGTATTTTAGGTTACAAATGGGAAGACTACAATATTGAAGAATATTATCAAAGTTCTAGAAGACATGGAAGGTAATTTTCCTGTGCAATCTGGTACAATGTACCTTGGAAGAAATGTTAATGTACCCTAAACTTTTAAAGAAAAGCAACAGTGTAAATTAGCACAGCTGTGTGATGTTTATTAAATTCTCACAACACCATGTACTCCAATGTCAGGTAGCTGATCACGTTTGGAAAGCATTCCATTAAGGATAAGACAAGGAAACAATGCTATACAAATGTCACAATTTTAATCATAGCCATATGAGAGGCGTGGTGTAGAATTGTCATGCCGTTCAATCATCACATAAGGTATATACATTGATAAGGGGATTAGTGTATGTCTAAGACATTTTATAAGCAAAGCTTCCATATTAATGCTAGTGTTCCTCATACATTTGTAGTGAGTGACTTACCGTTGTTTAGTGAGAGGAGAACTTTATGAGAGACAAGGAATTTATTGTGGTGTAGAAACATGAATCCATGTACCACATCTCTGAGGCACAAAATGTTAGACTGTGGGAATGTAATATGAAAATCTTTTATTTGTTGTTCTTCCTTTAATAGGTATATCAACTGTCAGTGTGCATACAACTCATGTGAGCATAAGGGATATGGAAAGAAGCAATATACCTCTGTTTCTCCTGGAACAATTATAAGATATGTAGTAGTCCCCACTGTGAGAAGACATGATGAATGTGATACAAGTTTATACTCTCACATTGGAGAAAACCCTTATGAGTACAAGGAATATGGAAATTCTTCTGTCTGTACTGATTCACTTTGCACATGTAGTGTGACTCACAGTATAAAAAAATATTATGCATGCAATCAGTGTTGTAAAACTCTGAGTTCTTCCAGTTCTTTTCAAAGATGTGAAAAATCTCATATGGGAAGAGGAAGTGATAAATGTGAGCTTTGTACTGATGACTTTAGCCATCACAGTTATCCGCAAACACACAAAACAACCAATAATGAAGAGGATCTCTATGAATGTAATCAACATGATAGTACCTTTAGATATGATTCCTCTATAAAAGTACACCAAATAACTCATTTAGAGGAAAAGCCCTATGAATATAATCAAAGTGATGAAGTCTCTACATGTCACAGTCTTCATCAAATACATAGAACTCATTCTAGAGTGAAAAACTATGAATATCAGCAATGTGATAAAGCTTTTACAAGTCCCAGTTATCTTCAAATATATAAAAAAATTTATACTGGAGAGAAACCCTATGGATGTACTCAATGTGATAAAGCCTATGCATGTTCTAGTTATCTTCAAATACATAAAAGAATTCATACTGGAGAGAAACCCTATGAATGTAATCAATGTGGTAAAGCCTTTATACAGAAGAGTCATCTTCACAGGCATGAAAGAAGTCATACTGGAGAGAAACCCTATGAATGTAATTACTGTGGTAAAGCCTTTGCACACAAGTATAAGCTTCTCATTCATGAAAGAATTCATACTGGAGAGAAACCCTATGAATGTAATCACTGTGGTAAAGCCTTTGCAGAGAAGTGTAATCTTCTCAGTCATGAAAGAAGTCATACTGGAGAGAAACCCTATGGTTGTAATCAATGTGGTAAAGCCTTTGCACAGAAGAGTGATCTTCGAAGTCATGAAAGAATCCATACTGGAGAGAAACCCTATGAATGTAATCAATGTAGTAAAGCCTTTGCACAGAAGAGTAATCTCCGTAGTCATCAAAGAATTCATACTGGAGAGAAACCGTATCAATGTAAGCAGTGTGGTAAAGCCTTTGCACAGAAGAGTAATCTTTTTAGTCATGAAAGAAAACATATTGGAGAGAAACTCTATCTATGTAATCAAAGCACTAAAGCCTTTACACTGGAGAATTTTCTCATTCATAAAAGAAGTCATACAGGAGAGAAAGCCTATGAATGTAATCAATGTGATAAAGCCTTTGCAAGGAAGAGTCATCTTCTCAGTCATAAAAGAATTCATACTGGGGAGAAACCCTATGAATGTAATCAATGTGGGAAATCTTTTGCACGTAGCAGTAATCTTCACAGGCACGAAAAATGTCATACTGGAGAGAAACCCTATGAATGTAATCAATGTGATAAAGCATTTGCACGTAAAACCCATCTTCAGAGTCATGAAAGATGTCATATTGGAGAGAAACCCTATGGGTATAATCAGTACGGTAGAGATTTTGCATGTAACAGTCCCCTTCAGATAAAGGAAAGAACCCTTATTGGAGACAAACCATATGAAGGTAATCAATGTGGTAAAGACTTTTCACAGAACAATTATCCTCACAATCTTGAAAGAAATTATTCTCGACAAAAACCCAATGAATGTAGTCAGTGTGGTAAAGTCTTGCCATGTTGCATTGTCCTTCAGAATCATGAAAAATTTCATACTGGTGAAAATCCCCATGAACCTAATGAGTGAGTCAAGCCTTGCAGTCCACATGTTTTTCCCACCGAGCTGTCTCACTGGTGCTTGAGTTAGTAGAGCCTCTCCTTAGTTAAAATATTGTCGCTTTCAAGTTGTTAACATATTGTGTTCCAAGAATACAGAAACATGATAATTTCAATAATAAAATATATTTTCAAATGAAACTGATATTTATATTGTCAATCATTATTTTTGGATCATGTTACTGTATTCTGAGGACTAAATACTTGTTCTTATCATATTCTCAGAAACAAAAATTAATGGCAGAGAATTTTATCACCAAATTTGATTGCTGCTAAGCCTGATTACCTGATATTGTGTTCCAGGATGGCCTTTTTATAAATAGAGATCTTTTCTCAAAAAATTCAAAACAGGGATCTGGAAATATGGTTGCATTTCCACAGGACTCAGGATCAATTCTCAGCACTCACATAGAAGCTCACAACTGTCTTAAAGTCCAGTTCTAGGGGATACAACAGGTCATACAGGCATACATTCACTCAAAACACTTTTTGATATAAAAGAAAAATAAATAATCATTTTTGAAAGTATTTGTCACATAGTGTAACTTTCTCTAGCATAATGTGGACTCATTTCTACTCAGCTAAGTCATTTGTTGGGGTCATTCACACCAAGAGAATTGTGTTAACAATTAAAATAAGCAATGTGCAGAGTCCATTCACAAAGGGATTGAAATCTTCACTGAAGAAGTATCAAGGGCTTTCATCACCTGCAAATGATGGAAGGCAGAAGGGGTAAAGGGTCGGGAGCATCTTCATTTTTTGTACTATAAGGACATCTTTGTGACCTGGAGAGTTGACTCAGTAGTACTGCTGTAGCTGAAAGTTTTCTCCTGTGTCCCACTTGGCCTGCAGTCAGGACAAATCTCTCTCACCTGCTGGTCCCACAGCCACTTGGATCCAAGGAAACACACAAAGGTTTATATTATTTATGAACTGTATGGCCATTAGCTCAAGCTTATTACTGACTAACTCTTACACTTAAATTAACCCATAATTCTTATTTATATTTAGCCACATGGCTTGGTACCTTTTCTCAGTTCTGCCTTCACATCTTGCTTCCTCTGTGTTTGGCTGGTGACTCCTTACTCAGCCTTCCTCTTCCCAGAATTCTCCTTGTCTGCTTATCCTGCCTATACTTTCTACCAGCTACTGGCCAATCAGCATTTTATTTATCAGCCAATCAGAGCAACACATTCACAGCATGCAGAGCAACATCACCCATCACACCACTGCTGTTGGTTATCCAAGTTTGGTTCCTAGCACCTACGTCAGGTGACTCAGAAGTATCTGTAAATCCTGGTTCAGAGGTCTGACTCACTTTTAATGCCTCCTTGGGCACCAGGTATGTTAATGGAATAAAGGCAGATATATGCATATACATACACATATATCATTATTTATGTATATATTTGTGTGTGTGTGTGTGATAGGCGAGAGACTCCATATTTAAAAAGATCTATCTTTATGTATATGTTATGTTTCTTTTCTTAAAATTATTTTTGTTCATGTGTTTGTCGGAATATTGACCTGGAATGAAGTCATGTGAGGAGAATTGAGTGTTTGTGTGTACACTTCAAGAAAACAGGACAAGGCAATTGTGACTTCAGTTTCTTCAAAACTCAGAATTTTTCTTGGAATGTGTTTTTGTGTTCTTCACAATATAACAGGAGTGAGCTTACTTCACATTACTCATCATTGTTTGTTTTTATTCAGTTGAACTATGCTTTATATACCTTCATGGGAAAACATTTTTGTATGTTTGTATGTGGATTGCTTTTGTCATTGTATAGTTTGAACACACTAGAACTTTACTCACATAATCTTTCTTAAACCCCAGAGTATAAATTATCTAGGGCTCTTAATAAAGTAGGTTTTTGGATGAGCCTTTAGTATCCCTCATTTATCAGCACAATTCTCCCTGGGCTCTCCATCTCTACAATGGTGACAAGTGTTTCTTGAACAGGGGCCAAAAATTGGCTGATGAAATGAAAGAGCGAGCTCTCTCAGAGAAGGAGGTGAGTGAGAATAATGGTGCAGATACCAGAGAAGGCTTTGCCTTATTTTGGACTTATTTTGGATCATTTTAAAAGTAAGTAGAAGCACAAGTATTAAAAGCATAACTATTATACTGTGTGCAAATTGTTTTTAACTCCTGTTCCAGAAGAAGGCAATTTAGGTGAAGAAGTATAGGACAGAGTTCTAAAGGAAAATGAAAAGACATATAAAGAAGGGGGAAAAGATCCCTTTTGATTTTTGGGTCACTTGGTCCTTAACTTGGACTGTTTTCACAATATTAAGGAGGATATTAATCATGAAGAAGTGAAATCAAGTTCTTGGAATGAATATAAACTTCATGACCAAAGTGTAAAATTGGTAAAAGAGGTAAAGATGAATTTTTTGTTCCTGCAAAATTGAGAGCAAAGCACCACTGACATGGATGCAGGTGCCAGCTCCCTCAGCTCCCTCAGCTCCCTCAGCTCCCTCCCTAGAGCCTCCTTTAGGGACATATCTGTGTTCTGGAAAAGACCCTGAAGCATGAGCTGAGTAATTTACTAATCAATCTGCTCTTGAATTCTCTTCATTTTGATGAGAACTTAGGAGAGTCTGTTGGAAAGCTAACTTCATTTACCAATTGTCCTTCCTGACTTCATGAACCACAGTTATTCCCAGTGCAATTTCAACAAAATCAAAATGTTTAACCTCTAATTATGCACTAACCAATCTACTTAAAACTATAGAAGGATAGATAGCACTGGACTGTTTTCCTTCACAGTTTTACATCAATAAATAATTTATTACCTTTCTGTCCCTAAATGTCGTAACTTAGAAGGGATCTCAATCACCTGTCTCTTCGACAAAATATCACATTGATGAACTATTTTGATGGTATTATGTTGATTGGACCATGTGAGCAGCAGGTAGCAACCACTTTGAACTCATTAGTAACACATATGCCCATCAAGGATGGGTCATAAATCCAACCAAAATTCAAAGGTCTAATCTCATTGATATTCTTAGGAGTCCAGTGATGATTGCTTTACAGAGATACTACTTCTAATGTAAAGGGTAAGTCATTGCACCTGCCCCTCACACGACGAAAAAAGAAGCACAATGCTTAGTGTGCCTGTTTGGATTCTGGAGACAGCACATTGCTCTCTTGGGTGTGTTATTTTGGCTTGTGTGGACCTGGAACAGAAGAAGGCTCTTCAACAGGTGCTGGCGGCTGTGCAGGCTTCTATACTACTTGGACTGGCATACCAGTGGTATGTGGAGTGTTAATGTCAGATATGGATGCTCTTAGGGGCCTTTGCGGGTCCTTATAAACAACTTTTGGCATACTATTGGACCTTAGGGGAAACTTAACATTTTGGCGGGTAGGGTCAGAAGACAGATTGAGCTTCTGGACCTGAAACTCACTTATGGCAGTAAACATGCATGATATACAATCTTTAAAGAAACCTGAGAACATTGTTGTGGCTCATGGATAAGTACCCTGCCTAGAAAACCCAATGACGATCTTTTGGTATTTCTTAGTGCTGAAGCCTCTGCCTGAATCCCCAATGAGGTGCTTGGGTATAGCATAGTCCTACAGATATTTGTAACATTTCTAATTTGTAATTTCTGGCTGTTTTGTTCATCATGACAAAAGAAACATGGGGGTGTTTTTTATTTACTATATTTATTTAATTTTACCTTTATGTGTGTTTTGCTTCCTTGTATGTCTGATGCCCATAGAAGAGAGAAGGGGCATCAGATCCCCTACAACAGGATGTAAGCATGATTGTGTACCACAGTATTAATGCTGGAAATGAAATTCATGTCTTCTATGAGAAGAGTAAGTAGACTTAAATACTGAGCCATCTCTCCAGTCCTAAATTTGACAGATTATCAAAATTTTGTGTGTGTGCATTCAGATCCACACACTGAAAAGTGAGTATTAAGAGAGTTGATGTTTGTTTAAAAAAATCTGTGTTTGGAAGTCGAGATGACTCTCTAGGTATGCTTATTAGATTTGGTAGGTTGATAGAAGCTAGAGTTAGAATTATTTTGGGTGTTCTGGGTTGGATGAATTGGTAAAAGAAAGAGGTCACTCTAAGATGAAATTTTTAGGCCTGTGTGGCAACAGGAATGTCAATCCTCTGTTGACTCAACCTGAAACCACCATTGACAGGCATATTTATGGATTCTTACACATGAGTTTCTCATACAAAGGTTCCTAATCTATATTTTCTCTAAAGGAAAGGATCATGCTCCTGCTTCTTTAGTCATTGTGTGTACTGGATTCGGTACCCAATAATCCAAGAGCTTCAGGTATGCCAAAAGTGTCTATTGACCAAAATCATGCGCAGGCTGTAATGATCCCTCAGAAACACAATTCTACAAATCACAGGAAACAATCATTATTTCTACAATGATTTTTTCATGGTCAAAGTACTTCTCAAAAACAAATATTCACTCTAATGTTTATCCTAGATACAGGGACTCTGCTTAATTCCTACAACAAATTGACATGTAGGAAAATCTATAGAGTATTTTCTTGAGTAATGATTAATGGAACAGGGCCTATCCTACTGGGCAGGTGATCCTGAGTTGTATAAGAAAGCAAACTGAGTAAGCCATGCTAGCAGGGCAGAAAGCAACATTTCTCCTGGGTTATAGCAGATGTGCAGAGCCTAAGCCTATGGTGGATATGAATTAGCAAATCTGTTCCTGGACAGATCCTCTTGAGCATTACACAGATCTGGAGAGTTGTTATTATTAAAGAGTCTATTCTTTATTAAGCTGTTTGTGTAAGGAATGATTTACCATTGGGAAGGCTCATTAAATCTAAAACAGCTTCATATCCAGCCTTTCAGAAAAATACTTGTGAAACAAGTTCCCTTATGATGACTCATGTTGACTCATATTTCCTTATCCCCATGTGTAGTCACACATGGTATTGACCTTGTCCTCCTGACCCAACCTCCTAAATTCTTGTATTAAATGTTTGTAACATCAGACAATTTTAATAGAACCCTTTTGAGTCACACAATGGGCTGTTCATTACAGTAGTAGGAAAATGATTTGTGTGTGCAATGTAAGTTTTCATTTGAGACAAAATAGAAGGAATAGTTTATTGTGTACACTGCAGGAGGAAACAGTCTCATAATGGAAAGCATTTTAACAGGGTTTACTTACAGTTTCAGAAGTTTAGTCCATTTTGGCATCATGGGGGCCATGGCAGCACATAACCAGACATGGTATATTAAAGATCGACATCCTATCCACAAGCAGCATAAAGAGAAAGGTTCTGGACCTAGCTTGGTAACTTGAACCTTAAAGCCGACTTACAGTGACACACTTCCTCCAAAAAGACCACATCCATGCCTACAAGACTATACCATCTAATCCCTCCAAAGCATTCCATGATGACTAAACATTCAAACATATTGCCCTATAGGGGCCACTCTGAAACAGATCACATACTTCCAACATGCAGTTTCCCATCATAAATATTACCATTACAAAAGGATGGAATGTTCTCATCTCCCATCCCCTACCTACCATTGTTGCCCCTCATCCCCAATTCACTCATGGAGATCTCATCTATTTTCCCTTCCCAGGGTGGTCCACGTGTCCCTCTTTGGGTCCTCCTTGTTAGCTAGTGTCTCTGGAGCTGTGGGTTGTATTTTGGTTATCCTTTGCTTTACATGGAGTATCCACTTATGAGTGAATACATACCATGTTTGTCCTTCTGAGTCTGGGTTACCTCACTCAGGATGATATTTTCTAGTTCCATTCATTTGTCTGCAAATTTCATGTCATTGTTTTTTACTGCTGAGTAATGTATATGTACCACATTTTCTTAATCCATCCTTTGGTTGAGGGGCATCTAAGTTGTTTTCAGGTTTTGGCTATTACAAATAATGCTTCTATGAACATAGTTGTGCATGTGTCCTTGTGGCATGATTGAGCATTTCTTGGGTATATGCCCAAGAGTGGCATAGCTGGGTCTTAAGGAAGATTGATTCCCAATTTTCTGAGAAACCGCCATACTGATTTCCAAAGTGGCTGTACAAGTTTGCACTTCCACCAACAGTGGAGGCGTGTTCCCCTTGTTCCACATTCTCTCCAGCATAACCTGTTTTCAGTGTTTTTGATCTTAGTCATCTGACAGGTGTAAGATGGTATCTCAGAGTCATTTTGATTTGCATTTCCCTGATGACTAAGAATGTTAAGCAATTCCTTAAATGTCTTTTGGCCATTTGAGATTTTTCTGTTGAGAATTTTCTGGTTAGCTCTGTAGTCCATTTTTTAAATTGGATTGTTCGGTATTTTGATGTTTAGTTTCTTGAGTTCTTTATATATTTTGGAGAGCTTTCAGATGTGGGGTTGGTGAAGATCTCCCATTCTATAGGCTGTCATTTTGTCTTATTTCCCATGTCCTTTGCCTTACAGAAAATTCTCAGTTTCAGGAGGTACCATCTATTAATTGTTGTTCTTAGTGTCTGTGATACTGGTGTTATATCTAGGAAGTTATACAACTGTCTCACTTATACAGAGGGCCTAGCTCAGTCCATGGAGGCTCCGCAGGTGTTGGTCTAAATTTCATGAGTTCCCACTAGTTTGGTTTGGTTGTCTCTGTAGGTTTCCCCATCATGATCTTGATTCCCCTTGCTCGTAGAATCCCTCTTCTCTCTCTTTGACGGAACTCCTGGAGCTTGGCCTGGTGTTTGGCTGTGGATCTCTGCATCTGCTCCCATCAGTTCTGGAGAAAGGCTCTGTGATGACAGTTAGGGTATTCACTGATCTGATCACTGGGGTAAACCAGCTCAGGCACCCTCTCCACTGTTGCTAGCAATCTAATCTGGGGTCATCCCTGTGGATTCCTTGAACTTACCTAGCACCAAATCTCTCCCCATCCCCATGATGTTTCCTTCCATTATGGCTTGTTTCCTTCATGGCTCTCCCACTCCGTCCCTCCCCCAGCTCCACCATCCCATAGCTTGATCTGCTTAAGGGGCCCCCTGGCAGCAGGATCAGGATCCATCCTTGGTGAATGATCAGACTTTTTGGAGCCCACTACCTATGGTGGGATGGAGGCAGGGGAAGGGGCTTGGACCTGCCTCTACTGAATGTGCCAGGCTCTGCTGACTCCCCATGGGAGGTCTTACCTTGTTGTAGGAGGGAATGGGGGGATGGTTTGGGGGGAGGATGGAGGGGCAGGAAGAGAGAAGAGGGGAAAAAGGGGGATCTGTGATTGGTATGTAAAATGAATAATTTTTTTTCTTAAAAACAACAATAACAACAACAACAAAAGTGTGGAATAGAAGCACAGTAAGGAAATACTGGAACAAAGCAAGGCAAAAAATCAACTTGGCAGATGACACATTCTGTATCTCCATGTCTGATGTCAAAGCACTCTTCAGATCTCCAATTCCTTTCAGCTTTGTTGACAGTAACACTCCTCTCTGCCTTAGGCTGGTTCCACATCCTGTTAGCAGGTTTCCTTGGCAGGTATCTAATGACTCTGGGATCTCCAACATTTTGGAGTCTCCAACACAATACAAGCTCCACCTTCACAGCTTCAGGAGATGGTTTCTGTGGGCTTTCATGGACAGACACCCCTTACACATGCCTGGCCTCAGGAGCTGTCCTTAGTTTCAGAGGGAGATTCCACAACACTTTTCCAATATCCTTGACTTTAAAGCCAGAACCCAAACCAAATCTGCCCAGTTCTGCTGCTTGCTGGGGCTGGACTTGGCCGCCCCCTTCAATTACACTTACACCAGCTTTCCACTGATGTTTGCCTTCCCTGCTTAAGCTTCTCTTTAATCCCATTTCACAATTTGGAAGCCTAGCTAAGTGGGTTCTTGCTGTGAGGTCACCACTCCCTTTGGACCATCTATCATCAGACTTATTTAAAGTTTTTATCTCTTTGTGCATCAGACCTAGCTCTATTATACTTCCTGTCTCTCCTTTGCTGCTCAAAAATGTACATTTTTTTCCCTTGATCAGATTGCTGCCTTTCATTATAAATCTGCTCAAGAGGGCCCTCTAAAATCCACAAGACATGTCAATAATAGGCTATCTTGACAATGCAATTAATCTAAACCTCTTAAATTTACCCTCCTTCAGAATCAGGGCAGAAAGCAGCCACATTCTTTGCCAAAGTATCACAGGAAATACTTGGCCAAAGTATCTCTAGGCCACTTACTAATACTCTCCTCTAAAACCTTTGAGCAGGTCTATTATAATCTACATTTCACTCAGTACCACTGACTTCCACATCCCTAATATTCCTAGTATGACCTATTAAGTCCCACATAAAGTGTTCAACCACTTTTCTAATCCAAAGCCTCAAAGATCACATTCCACCAAGTAGCATGGTCTGGCCCGTCCCAGCAGTACCCTGTTCCCTGGCACCACCTTCTTTCTTGTCCAGTGTTCTATAGCTATAAAGAGCAAGTATTTTAAAGAAAAGAATTTATTTATAGTTTCATATATTTATTCTATTATCATTATTGTGAGGATCATGGCAGCACACAGGCAGACATGATGGCTGATAGTTTTACATCCAGATCTGCAGGCAGTAGGAGAGAAAGGCACTGTGCCTGGCTTGTGCCCTTGAAACCTCAAAGCCTATCCCCAGTGCTATACTTGCTCCAATTAGGCCATACCTTCTTCAACCATGCCACACCTCCTAATCCCTCCTTAGTAGTACCACTCCAGGATGAGTAAGTATTAAAACATGGCCTATGGGGGCCATTCTCATTCAGATACTATAGTATCACCTTTTTCTATTGTATTTTTTTACATAGATCACTAATCTATTTACTTCTATTCCCCATTGTCTCCCAATCATTAAGAATTTTGATTTTTTTTATACATGGTTGGTTTTGTATTTCTTTTTAGAGCAAGGTCTTAGTTTTGGTTTCTATTGCTGTGATGAAACACAATGACCAAACATGAGTTAGGGAGGAAACAATTTATTTGGATTACACTTCCTTATTACTGTTCATCATCAAAGGAAATAAGGACAAGAACTCAAATAGGGTAGGAACCTGGAGGCAGGAGTTGATGCAGAGGCCATGGAAGAGTGCTGCTTACTCTGGTGTTCTCCATGGCTTGCCCAGCCTGTTTTCATGTAGAACCCAGGACCACTGACCCTTGGGTTGAACCCACTTACAATAAGCTGGTCTCTCCCCCATCAATCACTATTTAATAAATAGCTTTAAACTCCAGCTTACACCTCAATGTTTATAGGCATTTTCTCAATTGAGGTTCCCTCTTCTTAGATGATGTTAGGCTATATCAAGTTGGTAACAATCCAGCACATTGTGCCAAATGTGCCTTGTACTGTGCCATTAAGAATTGCTTTGAACACATAAAATTGCCTGTGCCATCTGGTGCTGGGAATACAGTTATGCAGGTCAGTGAGAAGGAGCATAAGACAAGGGAATAGGTGTTGTAATAGAGCTCAGTCTTTTGTTGGGGAGTTGCAAATGCATAGGGACCTCTGTAAGAATCAGAATCCATTGTCCACTTGCAAGCTGGTATATTCACAGTAGAGAAAGGGAGGTGGCAGGAAGAAGGTTGATGGGTCTATATTTGCGTGCATTTGGGATTTTCAGTGATTAGTCAGATAATCAACTTTAAGTGATCAAAAATGTCCTGATAAATAATTATGGAGTGTCCACAGACCAGAACTCTAAAGAATTTGGACAAACAAGTAAATTTCCTTCTAGAAACCTAATTACTGTAGTTGCACTAGTTCAAACAGAACAAAAGTGCTGAACACATGGGTATGATTCTGACTGTCTGGGCTGTTACTTTTCTGGCTGAAAATGTACAGCTAGAGAGGAAAGGTGTGATTAATCCTTGGTATGCTCCAAATTTTTAGTCTCTTGAGCACATGGGACCATGAAGCTTGATTTAATGCTTTAAAATAATTTTTGAGATTATGCTTGTTAAATCTCAAATTTGTGACAAAGTGCTGAGTTTTCTATTAATGTGTCAAAGCAGCCAATGGCTACCAGTTTTTTTCTGTGTCAAGAGTACCAGGTATACCCTCCCAATGACTCTGAACTCTTCATCCCAGAGACTGGGCTGGGATTTCCTTCACCCACTTTCTGATCCCTTTGTACATTACAGTAGTCTTTGTAACCATGGAGAAAATCATATGTGAGAGACAGCAAAATAATGTATTTGATGCAGTAAAGCTTTGGCACACCAGTGAAATCTTGAAACACACAAAGGAAATCCTGTGAATATAGTCAATGTGGTAAAGCTTTTTCAGGTTACTGTCTCTTCAAAGGCAGGAAAATATACTGGAAAGACATTCCATGAATGTAATAAATGCAGTAAAACCTTTCATAACACTCATTTTTTACACTGAGTTGTCTCACTGGTATGATTAGAACCATTTCATCAATAAAATATTGTCTCATTTTGAAATTGTAACCATCCTGCCATGATAGGATAGAAAAACACAGCTCAATTTGAATAATGAAACATATTTTAAAATGAAAGTGCTGTTTATAATGCCATCCATTTTTTGGTTAAGTTAGTTTATTTTGAGGACTAAACACTTGTTCTTACCACTCTCTCAGGAACATAAATGAATACCGGCAAATTGTTCCAGTGGTCAAAGGTGGTTGCTGCTAAACCTGTTGACCTGAGTCCATTTTCTGGGAGCCTCACATTACTCATACAAGTTTTCCTCAGAATAGTTCACATGGACTGTGGCATATGCACATCCACATACAACCACATACATAAATATTTTTGAAACCAATATAATGGCCAGTGAGGTCATCCACCAGTTTAAGGCACTTGCCAAGCTTGACTATCTTCGTTTCATCTCTAGTCCTCACATAGAGGAAGTAGATAACATGCATCTGTAAATGGTCCTCTGACTGGTACATGCAAACCATTGCACAGGTGTATACACAGTGTTAAAATTTTGAAAAATATGAAAGTAACAAGCAAAATAACCAAAATATGGAGAACATAGGAAATGATTTACCAGTTGAATTTCATTATAGAATTCCAAGAAGTATCACTGTTCACCAATACAATGGTGGTTCCTGTTTAAATCTTACATAACCCTTTCATTCTCTGATTCAAAGATGGGTCATTTGAAAAACATATCTCAGGTGAGCATAGTGGTGAATGCTTGTAATCTCAGCACTTGGGTGACAGAGGCAGGCAGAACTTTGTATGTTCGAGGTCAGCTTGTTCCATATAGTGATTATAAATGTCACGTTATAAAACTTTTCCCAGGAACACCATGCTATGTAGAGAGATCCTACCCATAAATAAATAAATAAATAAATAAATAAATAAATAAATAAATAAATAGCAATGTCACATTATAAATGTCACATTATAAAACTTTTCCTAATATAATTTGGAATCTCTACTAAACCTTTTGCTGTTTTTATTCACATCAAGAGAAGTGTGTTAACAATGACAATTAGAAGCAATGTGCAGAGTCCATTTACAGAGGGATAAAAATCTATTCATTCCTTTGATGACCTTGTAGCAGAGACTTTCATCATTTCTCAGTGACTGAAGACAAAAGAAATAATGGGGCATTGTAACTTAATCTTTTGCATTATAATGACACATTCATGGGATGGAGAGTCAACTCATTAGTACTTCTACTGTTGGAAACCAAAGTTTGGTTACTAGCACGCACATCACACAACTCAGAAATACCTATAATTCCTGGTTAAGAAGATATGATGCATTCTTCTGGTTTCCTTGTGTACCAGGTATACACATGGTGCAATGACATGATTGTGTGTGTGTGTGTGTGTGTGTGTGTGTGTGTGTGTGTGTGTGTGTGTATGTGTGTGTGTATGTGTGTGTGTGTGTGTGTGTATGTGTGTGTGTGTGTGTGTGTGTGTGCGCGTGTGCGCGCGCACGCCTCCATATTGTGAAGAGGACTTTCTTCATATATATGTTATTTTTTAAATTAATTAAATTGTGTAGTTGGAAAAATGTCAAGGAATGAAGTAATGTGAGGAGAATTCTGAGTGCTTATATTTACACTCCAAGAAAACAGCAAAAGTATCTTGTCCTTCAAACCACAGGATTGTTTCTGGAATGTACTTTTGTGCTTCTTTCAGGTATAGCAGATAGTAATGCTTTTGCCTTAGGTTACTCCTTTTTGCTTGGTGGTGGCAGTCATCGAAACATGCAGACTATATTTCGTATGCCTCTATGGAAGAACCTGTTTTGCCGCAGTTTGTCCTTGGGATTGTGTACATCCTTAACTCATGAGAACTTTGCTTACAACTTTTTTAAACCTTAAGAATAAAAATTGTGTAGTACTCTGAATAAAATTAGCTATTTCATGAAACTTTAGTCTGCTTCATTTTGGGGCTCCATTTTTCCAGGTCTGTGATTCTGGATAGATATTGATCTGAAGGCAACAGGAAGTGAACTGTGACACTGGGTGTGACTTTGTCATATATTTGAGACCTCAAAGACCTCCACAGAGACACACTTCCACCAACAAGGCCATACCTACTCCAACAAAGCCACACCTCCTAATAGCCTCTCCCTATGTGATTGGGGGGCGGGCAATTACATTTTAACCACCACATTCCATTCCCAGGTCCCCATAAGCTTGTAACAATATCATAATGTAAAATGTGTTTAGTCAAACTTCAAAAGTCCCCACAGTTTATCACAGTCTCAACAATGTTATGAAGTCCAAAGCTTAAAATCTCTTCTGAGATTTGGTAATCTTTTAACTGTAATCCCCTATAAAATGAAAATCAAAAAGCAGATTACATACTTCCAACATGTAATGGTACAGGATATACATCATTAGGCATCAGCAGTTTCAATAAGGAACATCTAGAATTGCCCACACCTCTATCAGTTGTACCACTTTTGCCAAAACTTCAACACATTTTCAAACGTCTGTGGTGGCACTGGCCCATCATGCCAGGATTTGCAGGTGGAAGCAGAACACTAAAATTTAAACCAGTTTAGTCTTGTGAGGCCATGTCAGCCAGCCCTAATATGATGGCACTGTTTTTGCCTGCCCAGAAATGAACTGACTTAAACCTACAATTAGAGTACTCAGACCAGAGTAATGATTTACATAGGTCCCCTTTGATAGCTAAAGAAGCTTAATATGGAGCCAGGCATGACTTTTGCTCTTGAATGCAAAAGCCAATGCTCTGGGAGAACCTAGTACCCTGCAGCTGAGACAGTAATAGGATAATGCCTGTGAAATATTAATAGCTGCCTTTGCTTATGTAAAACTTCCGTATCGCTTTTTTGAAAGGCCGAATTGGTCTTTTTATTACTATATAGCAGGAAAGGGAGGAACAACTGAGGGAAGTAAAACAATTTTCCTGCCCAGTTGTGGAATCCATGGATAGTTGTAACACGCACCATTCTGATGTCTGCCTTCAAACCTGACCTTACCTGCCCGCCCCCACTTCCACACAGCATATTGTATTGGCTCTAAGGCTGCCTTCCTTCTGCTCGCAATAAAAATAAATTCATTTAATCTAAATTGGAATAGAATCGAAGTCTTTATTCTTTCCCTGTGGATTAGAACACCAAAACATTCCATGATTGGAAAAAAAAAAAAACAACAACAAACCAACAGAAATTAGGATCCCAAAAGTAGAGGTGTCCAGTGTGGGGACCTGGGTTGAGAAGATAAATATAGAAAGATTGGAGTTAGTAGGTCATGTATAAGTTGTTGTTTCATGTTTGATAGAATACAGTCCAGGAACATAGTCATGTGAGAATTCTGAGAGCTTGTGAGAACATTCCAAGAAAACCAGACAAAAGTCTTGTGACCTCAGTTTCATAGAAACACAGAATTGGTGTTGGAATGTTTTTGTTTATGCTTCTCCAAGGTGTAGTGGATAGTGCTGCATTTACTTTTTATTATTCTTGCTTGATGCAGTTATTCAATTAAATGTTTATGAGTCTATGCCAAAACATGCCTTTGCCACATTTTGCTTGTCCTAGTGATTGTATTTACTCATGTGAGCTTTCTTAAATCTCAGAATATATATTGTCTGAGGAGGTGAGTAAAGATAGTCATTGCTTGAAACTTTAGTCTCCCTCAACGATGGATCCATTGTCCCAGGTACCACAAATCTAGGGATGTGATAAGGTTATATACCTGACCATGGCCCCAGCCCCTCAAGGGGGATTCTAGGTAGATGCTCCCACTGACCATGCCCTCAACCCATCAAGGAGGATTGTAGACAAAGATTCCAACCCCAAGGCATGCCTCCAGCCACTCAGTGGGGTATCATAGGTAGGGTCTCCACCCCTGACCCACAACTCCATACCTTGGGTTCTGTACATATTGCACTACAATCATGTTTATTGCTGTAACTGTGTTTTGGGTCCAGAAGATCAGAATTTCTTTTGAATCCACCTGCCTTATCCCTGCCCTGGTTATTTCTCCCACTTGTAGTGACCATATACCCCTGAGTGGACAGTTCTAATGTAGGTGGCATATGAAGAGTCATATCAGATAAAGAATGATGGGAATCAGAGGGTCAAAGGGTAGGGACCCGAGAGTGTAGGGTGGTGAGACCAACTGGGCACCATCAGTAAAGTGCCAGGCTGCCATTCCAATGCATTATGTGCCCCATTCATCATCCTGAGGCCTAGGGAGGGTTGTCCCTGAGGCTTTGGATTGCAGAGGTGAAGGTTGGAGATTTGAGGACCTGAACCATGTCCTCATTGACCCTAAGCCTCCAACTGCTGCATCTGCAGGATCTGCCTGAGAATGAACTGCACGTCCTCATTCATCTGTCCCTGCAGTGAGATGGTAGGGGACACAGGCAAATGCACAGCCTGGTGCACCTCTTGGGTACTCTACTGACCCCTGCATTTTCCCCACTCAAACCCAAGTTTGTTAGTGCTCCGTGAGATAGGTCTGTGGACATGGATGTTCCCAGAAGCCACAAGCCTGTCTCAGAACGTAAGAGGAAACTGAGGCCTGGGCAGTGGCAGAGGAATACTGAAGGAGAGTTGGAGCTCTGAGATAGAGTCAGGAGCCAGGAGACTCACCTGAATTACATACATTACATAAAACCACTACAGCACCATGCTCCTAGGCCTCCATCTGTAGGGACAAGGGAAGGGGAGGCAGAGGGATTAGAGGTTCAAGGTCATCCTTGGCTACATAGTGAATTTGAGGTCATCCAGGGTCACATAAGACCACGCCTCTACACAGGCTGTGGGTAGGGGTGGGGTTGGGGCAGGAGGAAGCAGGCTGTTTCATAATGACTTCCCCAAGTCTCAAACACTGGTGTCCAAAACTCTGTACTTAGCATCCCGCAGGACAGGGAAGGAGTAGGTTGGAGCTGCAGCAGACTGAAAGGCAACAATGTTCATAGGTCGGGGCCTCAGTTTCCCCGCCTGTCACAAGACTGAGTGGTGAAATGAGCGTAAGCCACTTCCCCCTCCCACAGTCTGCGATGGTAGCTGCATGACCCCAGCTGGTAAGGGTCTTTACAGCTGAGAACAGGTCCGGACTACAGTACCTAGGAGGGTGGGGAGAGACCTGCTAATGCAGGGTGGGCCGTCCCTGGTGAGGAGACCCAGTTCCACTCCTGTCCAAACAGAGCGAAAAGAAAAAGAATTACTTGACGCTTGGACACGTTTTCTACCTATAGCTGGTAAATCTGCAAATGAAAGAACCCCTTGCTTTGACAGGGCCAAATCAGGCTCTCAGGCAGGAGCCACGGCCCTTCCCGGAGGGCGCCCCTGGCCCGGCTCGGTGCTAGCGCAGACCGTACCGCAGCGGCGCCCAGGTCCCACGCTCCGCAGCCTGGCCCGGCGATGCTGGCGTTTCCGCCGGCGTCAGGCACGCGGGGCCGCAGGGTCGCCTGGTTCGGGCTCAGGCTGAGCGCTCCCGCTTTGTTCCGGTCGCCCAAAGGCAAGCCTCCCCGTCCTCCCCGCCCCCTCTCCGCCGCGCTCCGAGGCCTCGCTGCAGTGGGGACCCGGCGCTGCCAGCGCCCTGCTCCCAGCCTGGTGGGGTGGCCGCGCGGAGCTGCCCCCGTGCCTCCCGCGAGCCCGCGAGTCCGCCCTCCGCGGCCGGCGCCGCAGTACGAGCCTCCTCTCTCCCGCCCCCCGCGCCGCCGCCGCAGGAGAGGGGGGCCCGGGGCGGGCAGGCGCGGCGAGGGCGCGCGGCGATCCCAGAGCCGGGGCGGGGCGCGGGCGAGCGAGCTCCGGCCGCAGCGGGAGGCGCCACCCCGGGGCTCGGGTAGCGGCGCGCCGGCCTCTCCTCGCCCTCTGCGCCCCGCGCCCGCCCTCCGGGCGCCGCAACCTTGGCCGCCGCGGGTGAGCAGCTCGCACTCAGCACAGCTGAGGGAGCCGGCGGCTCTGCCCGCGAAGGTGTCGCCGCCGGCGTATCGCAGAGTGCGGGGCCCGGAAGGCGGGGACCGAACGCGGCGACCCGCCATGGCTCAGGCGGCCAAACAGCTGAAGAAAATCAGACATGGAGGCGCAGGCCCTCCAGGAGCAGAAGGAGAAGGAGGAATCCAACAGGAAGCGGCGCAACCGCTCCCGTGAGCGCAAGAAGAAGGCATTCTCTGAATAACTCAAGGAGTTCCCTTGAAATTGAAAGTGAAAAATGGTCTCATGTACAATTTCCTTGGGAGAGAGAAGAGATCCGTGACTTTTATCCCCTTCTCAAAGCAATGAAGCAAGAACGGTGACGATCCAGCTACTTCCGTTCTGGAAAAGAAGACTTACAGAGAGCACTTTGATGTGTTATTAACAGCCTGTGGGGCTGAGGAAGGCTGTGTGAGGACATGGAGAGGCTGAGCCACGGGAGCATCTTTAATTTGAGGGGCGTTCGGTGCCTAGATGTCGGGGAGCAGTCTGCAGTGGCAGAGGGAAAGCGGGGAGCATGCAGACCGTGTTTCCTAGCACCTTTTGATCCTGGAACTGTGCAATCTTTTGTGCTGATTTTACCTCAAGAGAACCCTGGATCTGGATCTGAAGGTTTAGAAGCTGTTTGTTGCAGGATGCGGTGTGGCCAGGACTACCTGCTCTGCAACCTTACTTCTCTTTGCTTTTCTCGGGGGCCTGATGAGGAAGGAAGAGAGGGGAGACAGACAGAATCAGGAAGCAGCCAAGCTCATGCTGTTAAAAGAGATGAAGAGCTGCCAGTTTCCTTCTGTGAACTTTGGAACTGTGGCACTGGTCTCTTGAGTGCTAATGTAGTAATGGAAGACAGACATGTGACACAGCTAAGATGGCTGTGCAGAGGCCTCTTTCCCATGGGTCACCAAAGTCCCAGCCAAGGACTTTCTTCATGGCAGTGAGAAGTGGGGAGGCAGCAGGGTAGGGCATGGGTTTTTTTTTTAGGCCTGTACAGACTGACAGGAGATACAATGTGGATGCTTCCAAACAGGATCCAGAGATCAGTCAGACAATGTTGAAGTTAAAAATAAATAAATAAATAAAATAAAGACCATGCCTCAAAACAAAGAGAAAGAGTGGAGTAGAAGGAAGGAGAGGAGGGGATTTGGAAGGGGAGGCCCATCCATACCCAGACACACTCACATACCTCTGTGCCTGAGTCAAAATCCCATGTTCAGATGTCACTGATGACTGACTCAGGAAAGTGACCCTGAGGTACACTGATCAGCCTAGGTCCTGCTAGCTATCCCTGTCTGCTCCGTGACTGTTCTGTCTGTAGCTTTTGTCACCTACCTGCTGCTCCACAGAGCCAGGACCTCAATCTTCTAGTGCAAGGCTATCACCTGGCCACACAGAGTTTCCTCTTCCTCAACGATTTCTGAGCAGGCCAACAGCACCTTCAGAGCCTTCTTCAGCATGAAGATATTTTCGACAGTTCTGCGATATGGTGGGGGAAAACACTCGGTGAGTGGCTACACTTATCCAGGCAGGCACCAGGGACATCTGCACCTCTACTGGGCAGCTTAGTAAAGGGTCACTGATTCACACCAGTAGCCAAGCTGACTAGGGACTTTTATTGATATAGCCCAGTGGCTATAATGTTCCTAATATGTCTGGGGGGGATCCAATGAAATATCTTTTTTTGTAACCCTGGAGGGATTTGAAATCACACTTTGGCATCTATTAACCAAGTTTTCTTGACACACAGCCTTGTTTGCTCACATGAAATTGGAACAAGACCCAATATTGCCTATAGTCCAGGAAATACTTTGTCTCATTAGCTCTTCAACTCCTGGGTATCTGTTGGTAAATCAAGTGAAAACTAGAGTCTGAGGCAGCCTGGCCATGCCCAGTAACCCATAATCACCATTTGCATTTTAATCTCATTTCATGGGATGTCCAAGGTTAATCTTTGGCCACCACACATGCACATGCACACAAAGAGCACACACAAAAGATCCAACTGTGACCCTGTGAAATGGCTCAGGGAGTAAAGGCACTTGCTGGCATGCCTGTCTCTGCCTGAGTTTGAACCTTGGGTCTTACATGGTGGAAGGAGAAAAAAGATTCAGGCAAGCTGTCCTCTGACCTCCATATATGCCAGCCCTGTCCCCCACATTAATAAATATGTAATTTAAAGAACATTAAAATGTTAGATGGAAAACAGGTTCAAATACTGGCTAATGATCCATTTTGTGTCTTGTGACCTTTTGTGAATGGCTTCATCACTCTGTGCCTATTACTTTAAAGAGGGATAATTAGAGAGTACAGTAAGGGCTGAATTCTGTTACCATGGTTACAATTACCAGTTTTGGCATCCACACCAAGTGTGGCTCTATTTATGAATCTCTTTGTTCTCTATGCCCCAAATTCCCATGTTAGAAATGGTCATAAGACCATTTCATTAGACCATGCCAACTGGTAAGATCCTCAGTTCTATATAATGTCAGGTTCATGGGCCATGACTGAGCAAGGTGGGAACCCATCTTCTTGTCCTTATCCTTGGCCTTGTCTAGGGCCTCCTGGGCATAGTACTGGGGCTGGGATGCCCTCTTGAACTTTGTACAAATCCCATAGTGCTGCATCTAGGCTGTGGTAAGCTGATACTGGGCCACATGCCTCTTCTTAGTAATCAATGACTTATGCTGTGTCTTTGGCTCTAGATGACACAAGATTCTCTGAATATTTAGTGTTCAAATAGGCTTAGATACTGGTGCTCTTCCCACCCTTCATGGGAAGCACATGGCTTTCTACCTCAAGGAAGGTTCTGGATTCCAACTCGACCCAAGAAATATTCTAATCCTGCTGTGCTACCTCTGGCTACTGGCTGTGCATCATGTGACAGGTAGTTAAGCCTCTGTGTGCCCTATCTTTCTCACTTGGTGGTGCACGCTTGTGATCTAGAAACGTAGATACTGATGCAGGAGTGTCAGGAGTTCACGAGCTATAGTGTGAGTTCAAAGGCAGCCTAGGCAACTGAGAGAGACCCTTTCTCAAAACACACACAAACACTCAGATACACTCTTTTGTAATGAAGTTTTTGGTTTGTTTGTATTTTGTTTTGTTTTGATTTTAAGAAGGTCTCAATGTGCAGCTGTGCATGACCAAGTTTGGTATATCAATCTTTTCAAGCTCAGGTGAATCTCAATGTGTGGAATGATGGCCCAGCATGCACCAGGCCTCTATGTAAACAAGAATTGTTCATGGAATTTGTCATCCCAGGAACTGGTAGGTGAAAGCAAGAGGGTGAAGTCCTCAAGGTTGGCTGTATATGCAAGGGTATATATATAGAGGTGAGAGCATAGTGTTCTGGAGTTGATACCTTTTTCATTGCAAGATTGATCTCAAGTAATAAGGCTTGTCTGTGAGTACCTTTCAACAATCTTGGTAGCACAGAAATTGGACTTTTAAATTCCTTCATTTCTTGCCATTTATAAGCAAAGGATTTTATTGAAATAAAGTAACAAAGTCATAGATTCATTATAGTGTTTTTACCTCGTTAAGGTACAATTCCAACAAGTGAAACTTACCACTATAAAGTATTTGGTTCAGTGTTCACACGACCTTTTAGAGCCATCACTGCTCTAATTCAAAAGAATTGTAGTATGTGAGACCCTAGCTTTATAAAACAAAAAGTTTGCAGGTTGTGAGGGCATACCATTGTCTCTTGCTATGAGCTGCAGGAATATAGTAAGAATTCAGCTGAATATGGTAAAGATATATCTGGAAAAGTCAAGGAATTCTTCCAGAGGAAAAGCCAAATCTCAAGGAGTATTTGGTGTTATTCGCTTTTAATGTATCAGCTATTTCCTGCTCTGAACTTCATGTGTACCTTCATAGTTTTCCCAATTGATTCTTTTTCCTAAGAAATACTAAACAGTGTGGATTAAGATCATTCTTTGGACATATACTATTAAGGTATTTGGATACAGTCACACAGACAAGGTTTCCTGCCCCCAGGCCTTCTGCTTTTCTTTTTTAGCATTAGAATCAGATATTTCCTTTAGCTAACATCCAAGGACAAAGCATTTCAGACTACCTGGTCTCCAGAATTAAAGTAAATATCCATATGGAGACACCGCCTAGGTTAAGCAGATGTTAGGTATATAACTTTGTTTCTTGTGCAAATTAAGCTCATACCCTCCTGTACAACCCTAGTAGTATTTCTAAAACTTCTTTTTTGACATTTGACTGAGGACAAGAGGAATTTTTTGCATACCAGGTATATCAAGCTATGTCACAGCTGCCTAGATATCCCCTCCCTGCCAGTAAACAGCACAACTGAGTTATATTGAGACAGTTTAAGCTCTAAAGAAATATAAAGTTTTATTTCACTCATAATTTGTACTAATATTATAGATTCCTAACATTTTGCCTAGCCACTTCTAGGAATGTAGTTTGAGCACATAAATTCCCTTTTTCTGATCTGTTACCCAATTTTAGCTCTTAGTTGACCTCCTCTTTTAACCACTCCCCTTTTGGGTTATAAAAGAAAGCCTGACAGTCACTGTCTGAGGAAAACTCTTATCTGCCTTGATGACCCTGTAAGAATTCAAGCCTGATGACCTGGCCTTAGCTTGAGCATTGCTATTGCATGGGTATATAACTGTAAACCCCAGAGAGTTGGGAAAGAACTAGATTGGAAGAGAACTAGATTGGAGGAGAAGTAGATTGGAGAACTAGATTGGAGCACTAGAACTAGAAGGATGAGATGGAAGATGAGGAAGAGCCAGACTCGAGGAAGAACTAGGTGAGTAAGAATGAGATGAGAAAGACCAAGATGGGCAAAACTAAGATGAAGGAGTTAAGACATCACTAAGAGGGAACAGGTAAAAGATGTAGAGAGAGCAGAAAGATGTAGAGAGAGTTGAACAGCAGAAAGATGTAGAGAGAATCAGGCAAGAAAGGAGCTAAGTAACAAAGCAAAATAGAAGGTGTGTAGAAAGAGAACTGACTCAAAAAAAAATAAAGTGTATGAACTAAGAGTTTTGTGTATGTAGATTCATTCACTATTCTTAAAAATAGACTTCTCAGCTGGTTGGTAGATCCTTCCATGGACCCTGGGAGAGGGCTGTCAAGGGGCTGGACCCCAATAGTCCTCATCAGTCTCTCCTTTACAGGCAGTGGGACCTGGAAGAATGGAACCTGCAAATGACATGACCAGAGTCTCATGCAATAGCCAAAATTATTCAGAGCCTCAGACAACTTTTACTCTATGGGTGAAGAAAGGTCAATGAGTAAAGTTCTCCTGAGCTTCAGCTGTATACTATTGTAAGACATGCCACACTTGCAAATCATGATTTTCTACAGGGAATGTAAAGGATAGTTTAAACATTTAATTGAATAACAATAATAAACAATAATGAGAAATCTGAAGTAAACTCATTTCCATTTGCTACACCCAAGAGTAGCACAAAAATACATTCCAATAATAATGCCATGTTTTGAAGAAACTAGGGTCACAAGAATCCTGTCCTGTTTGCTTGAAGTGTTCTTGCAAGCACCCAGAATTCCTCTTACATGACTCCAGTCCTGGACCATACTCCACCATTTGGCCCATTTAAAAAATTTTTAAATTCAGGATATCCTGAGTGGTTTTGATTTCAGATGCAGATAGAGTTTATTGTCATTTGATATATAAGTATGCTATAAGCAAGCAAATTATAAACTTGTTCTCTGCAATCAAGAACAAGAATCAAAACTATGAACAGTATTACTTGTTTCATTATCCTGAGGGTCAGGAAAATCTAGTGAACAGATTGAAAAGAGACCCATATGATAAGTAGTTCTGGTATCTCTTGAAACTTACTCCATTTAAACTTTACTAGGAATACAAATTTTATGATGTCCTATGCAAATGTGAAAATCCCAAGGAAAAATTAAATGCACTCCCTTCTTAAGATAAATGAATGACTCTATTATAGTCTCAAGATCCAGTCATAAATGCAGAGACATCTTTATTAATAACAGGAGATGCATCCATCCAATCCACAAGTTGATGAGTAATACATACACACAAAGGATAAGTAATGCTAGACCAATACACACACTCATGGTACCCACTGCAGATGCACTGGTCAAAGCAACTAACACTTGCTGAAAACATTTCTCAGATGACATAGGACTCTGTGTATTTCATAGAATATTTTCTCCATTGATGTATAGGGTTTTATCTTGACCACTGGTGGGACAACTTGAGCTCTGATGATATGCTTGATATCTCTGTTTGCCCTTTAGCTAGAGGGTTGCTATCTTTCTTGTCACTTCCACTATCCCCTTGCTGTGTACAGTTGTCCTTGATGGCCCTGGGCTGGAAGAATTGAATAATTCAGTGGATCCATATGATTCTGTGGATCTCCCAATAGTGACAGAAACATATCCCTTCCCAAATCTTTATCCAACTGGAATTCTATCAAGTTTTTTAAGCCATACAGCCC